CAGTCAAAATGCTTCCACTTGATGCAAAGGCCCTTAACGAGACCACTGTCAAAATGAGTGCACACAGGCACAAAATACAATCTATGTTTGTTTAAATGTACATAGCGTATCACATCAAGCAGACGCGCACATATGAAATTGCACACACATGCAGCATTGTTATTACAGTAAATTGGAATCTATGGAAGAAAAATGAAAGAGTCTCTGATGAAACATGTGAAAGTCAATAGCTGTGGGTACTTGAATACTCACAAATGCAAACATACAGATCACTCTGTGATGTGCTGATGAGAAATATCCAGACAAGTATAACCTGGGATATATTTTCACAGTTTTTGCTATGATAAAAATATTGATTGTTTTACACATTTCATTATTTACATTTTCTGGCTTTACTATGTTGGAAGCGCTGCACTCCAGCACACATTTAGGGGCAAAACTACCTTTGATTGTTTCACCAATAAAGTGATGTAAAGGGTCCTTTCAACACATTAATACACAGCATAAAATGTCATTAAAGTCTTTAAAGAAATATAATTGAACTATTATCTTGACATTTCAGCTATATAAGTCCATTTAATTCTCTTTTCTCGTGTTGCCTATATACTTTTTTTTTTAAATGACTGCCACTCATCCACTATACATGAAACAAAAAAATACTGTTACTTGCCTGAAGGTCTTTGATTTTTTTATTTTTTTTGGAGCGCCCACATTCCTAATCCTTTATAAAAGAGCTACACAGCTCTTATTTTAAATTAGAGTCGATTGTGTCTAACTCATATTTTAAATTTGTAACAGCTTGAACTGCTGCTTTTAATGACAATTTTGGATGCCAGGTGGTAGATAGCAGGCCTGTAAAAATCCCACAAATCTTTGAAACTATCCATCTACCCAAGATTGATTGGTTTTATTACAGAACATCTGATAGAACTTGAATTCTGCATCAGAATTCCTGAACAGTCCAGTCTATGTGTGTTAAAATAACATAAATAAAGTAAAATTATACTCAAGTGTCAGCCAATAGATGAATGGAAAATTGGGCCAGTCTCTTTGCTGTGTGTGTGTAGGGGGGTATAATGGTGAAATGTGATGTGACAATAGGATGGTATTGCTTTAAGGTTACAGTTACTTTCAAGAAGGGAAAGATTGTAAAACAGTTAAGAAGAGGACAACATATTAAACACAATGATGAGGCATGAAAATAAATAAATTAAGTTATCCTTTAATACCATACTGCAGTGATAAAGATCAACCATAATTTCATTTAGAGGATTTAACAAAGGTGGAAGATTATGGAAAGACCTGTAGTCCAAGGTCAACTCTATAGTCAAGTTCATGTACTAAATTTTAAGTTTGACTTGGTTTTCAATTCATTCTAAACTTTTAACCCCAGTAGTAATTTATTATCATAAATTGCTTGAATTATAATCTATACTGTGCACTGTTGTTAGCCTAAAGAAGAGGAGAGAGAAGGGGAAGGAGGGAGACAAACAGTTACCGTTAACCTATGCCACTGGTTTTAGAAACCCCAATGACGGCTAGTATTAGACTTTGCTGATTGGTTATTGATTTTGCAGAAGAACATTTAAGCTAGAAAATCTGATGCAAAGATCCCCCCCATCACATTGACTGTAAAAGGCTTCATTGATTTCATGTTAGCAATGATACTTAACTCCTAGTTAGTTTACAGCAAGACTCCAAAAACCCAACTCATGCCCTGTAGGCTTAACTAAAAAGGTTGATCATTTCCTTAATTAGCAAACAGCAGCCCTGTTAAGCTTCCATTCCATTTACAACATACTCAAAGCAGTCCTGTAACATCCTGTCAATCCCTATCCCATTGTATTTTTTCTAAACATTATACTTTTGTCATAATATGACTCAGTACACAGCTTTAGTTTGTCTCACACTTGTGAGCATGCTTGGAAGCCTGAATGCTCTCAAGAGCAACAAACAGAAACCTGACGATGGCAAATGTCTCACCTCATTTTAAGTTGTTTTAAGTTGCAAACGATAATCTCATGTGAACTCTAAAGTCAGATTTAAGACTTGTGTATTGATTTCCCAGATTAGTCCCTGTTGTCACATTACAGCTCTTCTGAGAAGTAAAATGATGGCGTAATGTGAAACAAAATAGCATAATTACTCATTCCTTATTTAGACTGTCTTGTATTTAACATCAGAACATATTCCTTTATTGGTTTTTATCTTTATTATAAGGTGATCAGTGTTACTAATTGTATGTTAGACATTAATAAATATCCAACACTAAATGCATGTTAGTAATGAAAAAAACAAAAAACAAATCTTCATATATACACACACACTTAAGTGGTAACATGTGAAACATTATCTATGTGCAGGAGTGGGAGTGATGGATGTAATTTAATGGCTCACATTAACTTCCTGGAGGGCCTCACTCTCACATCTTCAATTCCCTCGCTTTTTTCCACCTTCACTGGAGCACACCAACTTCTTAATTGGCATAATAATGTGATTAATTGCTTTCTTGTCATTGGGCCCACTGAGTTTTACACTGTAAAGAAGTATAAATCAGGCGTGTATTTACAAGCAATCAAATGCTCACGATCGAAAAGAACATATAAAAGATGCCCAGCTGTGCAAAGTAATTGGTTCTGCTTTATTAGCTGTGTATTATTAGTTGAAAGGAAAGGCATTTGGATCAAGAGGATGAGTTATTTTGGCATGTAGTTTAATTTTTCTCCTTTGCAGCTAAACATTAAAATTAAAAGATCTTTTTTTTCTGCTGTGTTGATATTAAATTGTAAAAGCCGCATGACAGTGTTTCAGAAGGATTTTCCTTCTATTTGTGAAATATGTGGACCTGACAGTCCTGTGTTGCCATCCCTAGTGCAACAATATCAAAAAAGATTTGAATTTATATTCCCCTCATGGGTTAACAGCTGTGTGTGTGTCGCAGCTGTATTAAATGGGCTGAAAACGTATATAAAACATACATTTACTTTGTCATGTTCATTTAAACACAGTTGTTACGGGCTACTAAGAGTGACTCACATGACTAAAATCTGATTTAATTTGAATACCAGTAACCCCCCTCTCATTTTTAAACACATTGTGATTATAAAACTAATCGTGTTCTCCTTCAAGGATACTTCTAACCTATGAGATCATCACCTCTTGTCTTTAATACATGCAGCCTTTCCACTATGAGCTCATTTTGCTCTCCAAGAATCCTGCTTCTCAGGAAGACCTTTTATCTTTTCTCACTTTCAGCTGATCAGTGAAATGGCGAAAAAAAGAAATTCCCACAATGTCCCTCACCCTTTGCCAGACTACAAAATGAGGCACCAATTATCTGGGTTCGGGCTGTGGTAGTTAAGAGCAAATGCTGATGAAGCTCTGATGTTTATAACAGCATCCAGGTGCTCTTGCATATTAAGACACTTTATGGTCACCTAATTAAGGAGAGAGACTATTGTCTTGATTGGTGTGCATCTTGATTCCAGGTGGCAAATATCGTGCTAAAGCATCTTTACGAATGAAAGCTAAGCTTGTGGCAGGCAGGGGAATTGATGGCAATATTTCTGAGCCCAGAGTATGACAGATAGTCAATTAAAGGTTATTAAACCACATTGTGTCATATACTGTATTTCTTTCTGAATCAGGATCAACTGACACAAGGCATTTGTCATGATAGCACTCAAGATGTTTGCAATGTTGAAAAGTGCATTCCTGTACATGTTAGTTTCGAACTAAGGGACTTTACACAGTGCAAGGGGACAGTGGCAGTCTCCATAAAAGTATAATGTAACAAGACTCATAGTCTGTGAAGCTGTATTTAGCCACAGCAGTGCTACAAACAGAAAGATGAAGATGAAAAGTCAGGGGATCACCAAAGTTGGGGCGGCATGAGTCTCTATTTCTAATTTCACAGTAGGCCATCCAATAGTTTTCGAGATATTTCACTCACAGACAAAAAAAGTCACCATTATGGTTGTACGGGATGAAAAAGTAATCAGGATACATTGTGTATAGAAAGTCTATCTAAAAGTTGGTGAGTTAACATACTTTTACCTGCTGTTGGCGATCAAAATCATTTGGATTCATACTCAGGGGATCATGAATATAGCTGACATTGCCATATGCCGTGGCTAAAACTCAGAAGAGCATCAGCATCGGAATTTGTTTTTAAATCTGGAATGTCAAAGACATTTGGCTCATTTGTAATATCAAGGGCAGACAAAAAGCGGATTATTATAAATTCAGCAAAATCACCCCTTCACAGCCCATCAATATTCTGTGGCCATTGTGAGGGACTGGGTTTAGGCTTAACGAGGGGATCCAACAGATAAATGATCAAAAAACAGGACAGCTATTGTCCTTGAACTCTTAATGGCGTACTAATAGCGCAGGGTGTCAAGAGTGATTTTAACAAGAGTGTCCTGAGTCAAACTTTTTTTTTAATCTCTCTGCCTTTGGACTTCGAGGAGATAACTGTCTCCTCTTTCTCGTTTTCTCTCTCGCTCTTTCTCTCTCTCTCGCTCTCTCTTTCTATCCCTCTGTCTCTTTCTCTCTCTCTCATTGCATTACCAACTCAGGCACGCCTTTTGCATAATCACCATCCTGTGTTTCCTCCTGCAGTCTGGATAAGGGGGCTCATTATAGTAGAGAGTAGAAAGCACACTGGTCTAGGTCACACAGTTATGGACTCAAAAAAGATCAGGAGAAAAATCTTTAAACAAAAACCTCGCCATGGACACGCATAGTGACGCTGTAAGCCTGGCTTAGGTTAAAATAAAATAGAATGGATATATATTATTTCATCATTGAAAACTGATGTGCAGACACTGTTTCTTTTATCAATTCCTTGTCTCTTTTATGTCTAATTTCCAAGCATTTTGTTTCTTAAGATGTTTGAAATCGTGATCTTTAATCGTATTGATTCTCATTGTGGCTTTTAAACTCACCTAAAATTTCTCTTCATATTTCTACTTCTTCCCTCTCCTCTCCTTTCAGATAAAAGACTGAAAATAGGGACGACCAGAGCAAAAGAAGAGAGAAAAGAACAGGCCATGGCTGAGGGGATGATTGCTTCTCAAAGTGGTAAGTTGCAGACATTTACAGTCTCTTAGCTGCTTTGTTCCAGAGACTTGTGTGTTCATTTTGGACCATTTCAGTACTTTTGCGTCAGTCCTGGTGCCGTCATGGTAGAGTGAAATTGACAAATAACACAAGTGTAAAAAAAGCCTTCCCTGCGGTCTCGGTTTGGTCAGGTTGACATGATTACGTTACTCAGTGTTCGGTGTATGGTTCTTATTCAACCATTTCTACCGTTTTTCTTCCTGCAACACACCTTTCTTTCTCCATTTATGGTCATTCCAATGAGAAATATTACTCCTCCAATCACAGACCTTTTTTGAACACATAAATATATATATATATATATATATATAATTACCTTATAAGCAAATAGAATTCATTGTAACGGCTTTTATCCAGAAATACACCTTTATCTAAATGACACTGGACCTGTTCAAGTCTTCCAGCTTCATTGGCTTTATGTTCTCTCTGTCACCAAGTTGCAGTGTTGAGTCAGTGTCCCCTGTTGCAGCCACTGACACACAAATCATTGCTGAATAATGACTTGATCCGTCATCAATGCAGCCAGGACAAGCAGGTCAAACCAGCAGGATGTGTGCCATCTAAGGAAAAGGGTTGTCACCCTGTATTCTCTGTCGCACCAGGAGCATCTTTAAAATTTACAATGAGTCTATGAACCCTTCACAGCTTCTAAAGAAAGCGCCTATGATTCATAAATCATAGGTCATAATTCATAAATAATTGAAGATTATAGGTCTGGTAAAGCAAATACTGTGTAATTCCTTCAGTTGTTGCTTTCACATTATAATAGAAAGTCATCATGAGGGGTGCTGTGAATTATCATGTACTTATTCATTTACCACGTGGATTTTCCTGTACTATCATTCATTTTTAAGATAATTTACATATGGCATGTCAGAGATGTATATGGGCATTCTAAACCAAGGAACAGTTGGATATCCGTGTATAAAACATGAGATCACCTGTTCTTTTTCTGAAATAGCCTGACCCTGTGAATCCAGGTTAATGCTCATCCCTCATTAATTTCCTCTTCAAATATTAAGGGATGAGGAATAAGTGGTTAAAGCGAAGAAGGAAGTCATTACAGATACATTTTAAACCCTGATAACGTTGCAGCTGCAGCTGCAGCTGAATATTCTCAAAGTGGTCTGAGTATATAGGATGTACATTTTGTGATTGTCCAATGCAATGTTTGTGATGTATAAAGTCTACTGCACTATACTCTAAACCTAAACATTAGTGAAGCCCTATTTTTTCCTGCATACCTACAGAACAATGCAGCTCAGCTAAATAATCTCACACAAAACATAGTTTGGTTACTACCAGGCAGAGATGCACTATAATTGTTATAGTACAGTAATTAACTTTGACAGTATATACTGACTGAGGATATAGATAATGCATGAAGGGCGGTGGTTGCCATTCCTATATGTCACATATAATCTTATTTGAAGTGTCTTTATGCCATCCGCACTGTGCATTACACTGTTAAACATCACGGAACAGTGCATCCCCTTCAGACATGTTTGTTTTCCCAGGCATGTTGAGTGCAGATCCATCATTTCTTAAGCCAATTCCTGTATTCAACAAAAATATCATCTTGACAAGAGTTTTAATTTACAAGTCAAACTCCAGTTGACTTCATCCGTCAGCAGCCAATCTTTTGTCAGACTTTAAATTGCATGTGTGTGAGTGTCTAAATTTGTAAGTGTGCGCACCTGTGGGAACAACACACATCCTTGTGCGAATGTTTGTGTGGCCAGACTTGAGTGAATGTGTGACTGTGTATGCGAGTGTGTTTGGGGAAGAAAAAGAGATCGAAAAGCAACAGAGGTGATGTGTGAAGAGAAGGGAGGCTGCAGACAGATAGTGTCATTCCCTCAGTATCACCATTAAATCTTAATCTCCTGGCCTCTCATGGGAGGAGCCAGCAGAGCATGGGATTGTGTTTTGCATCTAAATCAAGATGTGGCGTTCCTTCAGAGAGCGCTTTATTGAGACAAAGTTTGATGTGTCTGTTCTCTACTTCACATACGTCTGGATGCACAAGCTGATCATCCAGCTGCTGTTGTTTGTACTAAAAGTCATGTTAAATTCAATTGTGTTGTAACTGTAACATCTCTAGTCAATTAAAAAAGAGAGAGAGAGAGGGAAAACAAAACTCCCAAGAGTATTTACGTTATCTACTACCGTATGGAAGTTTCAGCAGATTGCATCATAGGGGAGTTTTTGTGGTAGTCAATACCACCAGCTAAACCCAGAGGCTATCATTACATATTTACAATTCTTTTTTTTCCTAATACTCACTGATTGACCACATTAACTAAATTTACTTGTTAATTTGAGTCTACAATGTACTAACAATGACGCAAATACTGGTTCTTGGACTAACATTGTGTTGCACTCCTTACTTATCTGTTCAAACTGTAGTAGAGACCCTGTGTCATCAATTCTGCATTCATGACAGCATAATATTTTTAAGAGTTGAAGCATTTTTGTAAGGTACCCAACAAACCTACTAAAAAGATTGTACTGGTAATGATCCTAGAAATAACACAATTGGTAGAAAATCAACATTTGTGATTGTTTAAACTGCCCTGAAGAAAAGATTGATAATATCTTTGTTCTTTATCATTCATCCTGAACGAAGTGCACATCAGTGAGTAATTGGAAAAGTAAACTAAAATGAAGTTTGGTACTGAGCAGTTGATGGTTATAATAACACTGAAATAGCTGGTGGTGGTGTTCAAACACTTAACTTAAGGAGTAGTCTGCCTCTAATATAAGAAAAAACATAAGTCATGTTTTGAGAGTGGCAGTAATTTAGATGTTGACAGTTTTCATCCTATATTTCATCCCCCTGTGAACGCCACCCCAGGTGTGATTAATTTACCAAACACAGTACATCAGTCAAGGCATGTTGCATCCCATTAGCTTCATTTTGTTTTGACCTAAACATCCCTCATGTTCCACCTTCTTAATTCTGCCCTTTCTCTGCCGTTATTGTCTGTTTGTCATTTCTGGCAAATGTTCAGTTTCTCAGGAAAAGTAGAGATAAAAAGTAAACACACAACGCCTGGCCCTTATCGCAGCAAACTGTGCTTCCATATCCTCTATCAGCAGGAAATGGCCCGTACCTCTGCACCACCTTCTCATCTTCTCAGCTGGGAGAAAGAGGTGAGCAGTAGTCAGGGCACGTTGCATTTCAAGATGCCCCGGGGGTTACCCCTCAAAATTCTCAAATGACACACTTCATTCCCGGTGAAGCTACACAAAAAAATCTGTGACAGGGCTTTTAATTATGTTTCAGGCAAAACTTAGAGTGTTTATCCAGAGGGCTTACTCATTCTGGTGCTGACATTTGTGGATAGAGGACATGATTTGTTTTTTTTTATTTGTTGTTGTTTTTTTTTCTCCAATGAAGTGCTACATTTTCCCCAACATCAATTGGATATGGTATTATTAGATCTGGCTGCACACTTTTAGATATGAAAGGGAAAAATAATCTCTCTGAAAGAGGTAAGCTCTGACAGCACACTGAGATGTAATGGAAAGCCTGGCTGCTGTTTCAAAGGGAGAACACAGTAAGAAGACTGGTTTGGAGAGGGGAAGCCTGCTCACTGCAGAAAAATTACAGGGATAAACCAGCAAGGATGCTAAATTTATTGTTCTGTACCTTAAGTTCTGATTTATTATGGATATGTTTGTTTTTTTTCATGCAGCTCCATTCTTGTAACTTGAAGGCAAAGGCTCCCTCTTGATTCTAAGACAACTGCAATTTAGTGAAAGATGCAGGGGAGATAACATATAGGAAATAAATGAAATATATATTTGTTGTCTTATTGTGTCTAACTGTGGAATGTCAGAAATTGTAATTATCATCTCTGAGTAGATATCAATTTTGTTTTTTCTGCATAATGAGATAGACAGCTGGTTTACTGGATCTTTTTCCAAATTTCGAAAGACACATTAGTGGGAATGGAAATCACATTGCATTCATTGTGTCTATTATATTTTGTGCGCTGCCCACATGCCTCATTATTCTTGGTAATAGAGTCATTTCTCCACCGAGTCTATTGATTCATCATTATTTTCTGAACTCTTCCTTTCAAACATATCATTTGAAGTCTGGCAATTGCATTGCAAATTATGCCAAATGATGCTGAATTGTTGTTATGTGGATCTGCATTGTATTAAGTTCTACCTAGTATTTTGTGATTTTATTTTTTCAAATAATTTGGTAGTAGGGAGAAAATAACATGAATACTGTATGGAACATGTTACAGGACGGGTAGCTATGACAGATTATTCTTAACCTGCAAAAACAAAAAGGTCAAACTCCTCATGAACTCTAAAATACTATAAAGTGGCAAAATACATACAGTAGGCTGTAAACTATTACTACTGCTAGACAAAGTGACTAGAAGACGACAAGGTCAAAATCGTGGTTGGCATCAAAAGATTGTATCACTTGAAGCTCTACATCCGAGACACATAGTGCACTCAGTGAAATATGCATAGTGATGCCTTTTATTCATAGTAAGTAAATATATTTTTCTGTATATAGCACTTTTTATATGATAAAAGTTACAAAACTCTTCACAATAAAAACATGACATTTCAAAAAGGTGTGATAGTAACAAACAAAAGAACAATAAAGTAGAAATAATAATAAGTTGTTGTGTTTTTTAGTATAATATTCATTTTAGTATAATACAGTATAATGTAAAGCTAGTGTTCATTCTCATGCATTTAATCCGATTACCCATCACTCATCGAGTTACCTGTAGAATTAGATATGATGAGACTTATTTTACAGTATTTTCTCAGTTCTTCTCCAGGTACCCTAACGTCAGTTGATTTTGTGCCTCCAATATTGTTAGGGCATGTGTCACATCTTTCAGAGGTTGGATTTGCCATTTTTGTAAGAAACTCGTCATCTCTTATTGTTTAGTATGGCTAACCTTCCATTATCCACTGCC